TGCTTAACTAAGGATCAGATTATCAACAGAGGGCAACTCCCATGTAGGCGTTAACTAAGCAGCCAGATCCCTACAAAAGTTCATCTTACTGGGTGCTCTGGAACTATAAAAACCTGTCCAGACGTGTTATGGTGACCGTTTGGAAATTGTGGCTCTTTTTTGGCTCCGCGAATGGCAGCTCGGCTCTTTCAATACCCGGTTTTGCTCCCAGGGGCCGAGCACTCGATTCTGGCCGTGGGCTGCTGTAGAAGCGGGTGGCTGAGGATGCAGAGACAGGAGGGGTCCCGGCAGGGTCCCTGGCAGGCTTAGCCAGCGCCAGCGTGTGCGTTTGAACTCGCTCTGCGGCACGGCCGAGTCAGGGGAAGAGGCCTTGGCATCGTGCCCCCTCACGTAACCGGCCTTTCGGCTTCTCCTGCCCCTCAGTAAGGACTTCACGGCAGAGCTACAGCTTCCCCGTTCCCGGCTGGAGCGCATGTAACTCTGCACGAGCCACCGTTATCAGGACGGAGCTGTTTGCCACCTGCGAGTAGCCCACGGTGGCTTCGGGTGTTGTTGAAAGTAGCCAGAGTGAAAAAACAGAAGTCACGTTGTACCGTCTTCCCAGATGTGACAGGCTAATGAGAGACAGGCTGAAAATACAGCATGTGGACATCTTGTCCCTGGTTTCGGGGACTACATGCCCACACCTATACAGGGCACCCCTGTATGTGAGCACAGGGCCCTGGGGGAAGGAGCTGAGTTGTCCCCTGGCTGCTGCAGATGTCCGGGGGATCCCTCCGGAGCGGCGGCAGCCTGAGTCACCGTACGGTGAGTCAGGCTGTGGGCATGGGCCGCTGGGTACCAGCGCTGTCAGCTGCGGAGGTGATGTGCGGCCGGGAGCTGGTTAGCCGGGGTGCTGGTGAGGGCGTCTGGAGAGCGAAGAGGCAGCAGTGCCAGTTGGCGGAGGAAGGAAAATGCAGACGCAGAGGCAGGGCGGAGGGTGTAGGAAGGAGAAAGGGACAGCAGGGAATGAGGAGCAAGAGGTCAAAGGGAAGGAAGGCTCGGGGTGCAGTAGGAGGATGAGGGAGCTGGCAGGCAGCGCAGGAGCAAAAAAGATTGTCAGTGAAGCTTGGATTAATTTGGTTTTGAAGCTCTAGAACTGTGGAAGTGCTGCACTTAGCCCGAGTTGCTTGACTCGGTGCTTGGCTCCTGTGGTGAGACTGCATCTGACCTGGAGCAGGCGTGGTTTACAAGAGCCATGTAGAGCCCAGTGTTGCTTCTTTTGTCACCAGTTCCCAGCCACATGCATGTCCCCCCCAGCCCACTTCCACGTTTCATCTCTGTGCAGGACCTGCAGAGGGAAGAGTGGAAGGAGGGTGGGTGTGCACACCCGTGGCTGGGGAGCTGAAGCAACCCACAAAGCCTGTGTGGCCCCGTGCCGCTGCCAGGACTGGGCAGGGTTGTACAACCCCTCTCGGAGGTTAACAGCAGCAGTGCTGGGCTGCAGAGGTGCTCTTGGTAAAGAGCTCTGCTCCCAGGTGCTAAGGAGCATTTTCCTGCCTGCGGAGACCTTTTGCCTGGGCTGTGCTCCTGTTTTCAGGACACGTAACCCAGGGCTGCTCCCGGTGATGTCAGCGGGGCCTTTCATCATTGGTTGGGAAGAGCTTTCGCCAAAAAAAATGGAAAGGAAAAGAAATATTCCGGGCGGGAGGGTGGTGTTCTGGCTTGATGAAGAAGGCCTGGCTTTAAACCTGTTATTAAAACTGGAAACAGGAAATTTTCACTCTGACTAGGTAAACCCTTGTACCTCGAAATGACTAAACGCACAACACTGGAAGTAACACCTTTGTGCTAATCTTCGTATTTCCTCCAGCTGCTGCATGGTGCACGGGGCTCATGTCAGCTGGCGGGGCTCCTTTCAAAGCTTTCTTTCTTTTTAGACTCTAGAATTAACTTACAACGTAATACGATACAGAATAGAGAGCCTTCTGCGGCACTACCGTGGGGTGAACGTGTCCCTCAGCCGTACCCCTGCGTGCATAAGAGCCAGGACAGTAGTTCGGTAGTGAGATTGTTTTGAAGGTGATTCAGTGAGGACTTGGGCCGCAGCCCCAAAGGCAGCTGTGCGCCGAGGCTGGGCGGAGGAAGCTCGGAGTGATGTCACTTCACAGCATGCCCTTTGGCTCCCGGGTTCCCCCCCCTTTTCTTTTTCCTTGTAGTGGCTGCAGCAAAGGCTCCATTATTTGGCAGCGTGGCATTGCTTTTGTCTATAAATGGAAGCAGTTGGCCCGTCTCCCAGTATAACACAAGATAGTCCTGTGCATCAGTTATGCAATCTGTAGCGTGATGACTTCATCAGAAGCCGGGGGAGGGCCAGGGGGGTGGTAGGAAAAAGCCTTTACCGTCAGCTCTGCTGGAGACAGCTGATGTCTGCGTGTCCCCCAAAGCAAAGAAAGCGGGAGCTCGGTGACAGGGGTGGGTGAGAGGGCTGGGTGCAAGAGCAGCTGAGGGATCGTGAGCGGGTGCGTTTTCCTCACCCCTGCTCCGGGAAGCCCCCCGCAGCTGCCGCAGCCCTCGCCCTTAGGGTGCTGCGGGGACCACGCTTGACCAGGTTGTAAAGCGCAGCCAGAGATGGGACCGGGGGAGAAGTGGAAAGAGGAGCGGGGAGGGAACTTTCAAACCAGGGCAGTTGTTAAAAAGAGAAAGAACCTGAATATCGGAGAGCTGCCTTTCGGCAGAGAGCCCTTCAGGGAGTATCTGTGCAAAGTAGAGATGTGGACAAATTGTACTTTCTTGTTATTTCCTCAGAAGGGTCCTTGGAAACCTGACCTTCATGCAGAAAGGCTGTTCCTAATTTCCCAAGCTACACTCAAGCATTGATTTTAACCCTTTCATTGACCGGGTTGGGGGGGGTGTCATAAGATTACTTTTCTAGACATTCCCAATCACACAGTAATTGACATAACTCGAACCACCAGTGAAGCAGATGAATCTAAACCCCACCCCGGCATGCTTTGCACAAAGGATCCTGAAGTGGTATAGGTCCTTTCCATCAAGTTAGTGTTTTCGAATGAGTACCCGTCTCTAGAAGACAATTAAAGAGCTTCTAACAAGCAAATGCTAAGACTGGTCCTGCCAAGTGAACTGCTCTCTGCGGTGCTTCCTCTGGCTTACTTAGCCCAGCAGAGGTGAAGACCGCTCGTATCACCCACCACAAGCTGGTATGTGCTAGTAGCTTTCCCAATACTTGGTAAAAGGTGGTCCTGCCCCGCAGAGCAACTCTTGCACAGTTTTTTTGTCTTACGGGAAGCCGGCCTGAGCTAACCACAGCGTTACTCATCTCTCCCTCACCAGGCAGTCCCCGTGCGTCCCGGCCTACGGTGATGAAGGGACGGTGAGGGCAGGCTGCCCGGCTTCAGGTGTAAGCGATGCCGGGGAAGGGCAGAATGCCCAGAGCCAGCCCCACGGTGAGGGGTGCCGGATCTGGGGCTCCGGGTCTCCCACGCTGGCCGAGCGCAGGCTGCGAGGGTGACCCAGGACGAGTCCCTGCTGCGGGTCCTCCTCTGGGACACGGAGCAGCGCTGCTCTGTCGCAGGGGCAACGCGGGCTGCGAGGGGCTCGGGTACTAGCTAGCGCGTGGAAGGTAGATGGGAGAGAAGAGAAAATCCTTAAGCTCTTTTACAGCAAGGAGCACCCGGAGTAAGGACTGGGCAACCAGCGCTACGCCTGCTGCTTTGTAATCACCCCCCCCAATCGTTATTTTTTGAGATTCGGCCCTAGCCGGCCATCTGGTTTTGAGCAAGGCTCGCTCCGTAGTGCTGAAGGCAGGCGCTGGGCTGTAGTCAGCTGCCTCTTCCCCTGGCAGCGGGACAGCCCGGTGTTACAGCCCCGCCGGACGGGCTCCGCGGCAGCTCGGGGCGGGGGGGGACACACAGTTGTAAAGACACCAGCTCCCGGAACCGCTGCGGACCCCCGGGAACGCTCCCCGCCGTCCCACGCCCGCTCCGTTGCTGCCCCCCCGGGGCGGGGACAGGGTGTGTGTGTGGGGGGTGTCCAGCCTCTCCCCGGCCCCCCTCGCCCGTACCGGGGAGAGGCCGGTCCCGCTCCGCCGGGCTGGGCCGTGCCGTGCCGTACCGTACCGGGCCGGTCGGTGCCGCG